GTCCAACACATGATTAATGTGGACAGTTTTTTAAAAAATAAAGCCAGATAGGGTGTCATAACATGGACACTGAGGAGTTACTGACTAAGAGGAATGAATCCCAGTGGAGAGAGCTTTCTTCTGAGACCTTTAGTTCATTGTCTTGTGTGTCTGGACTCTGTATGTGAGTAACTGCTTCCACTGATGAAGAATGCCTTAGGCCCACCCTAACTAGAAGGCCAAAGGCAGATACCACCCCCTGCTCCCCCATCCCCAGCAGAGTCCATCTCCCATCACCCAGTAACCACCTCCTACCCCGACCCTAGGAACAATTCCACAGCTGACACAGTCTGTGCCTTGGCTGATTATGTTAATGGAAGTTCTGTTCCTCAGATTGTGTGATTTTAAAATTTAAAATTTCAAGCTACTGTATCAGCTTTTCTTAAGTTTGGTTTGTCTGGGGCACCGTAGCTGAGCAGGTGAGTACACGGGTTTTATAGACCAGACAGTTCTGAGTTTTAAATGAGGGAGTGAAGTCTTTTATTTTGTGGTTCATGGATATAAAATGTCAGTACTTACATTGCGGGGTCCCTGTGCCTAGTATATGGTAAGTACCACTTCAGTTCAGTTTAGTTTAATCACTCAGTCATGTCTGACTCTTTGTGACCCCATGAATCACAGCACGCCAGGCCTCCCTGTCCATCACCAACTCCCGGAGTCCACCCAGACCCATGTCCATTGAGTCGGTGATGCCATCCAACCATCTCATCCTCTGTCATCTCCTTCTCCTCCTGCCCTCAATCTTTCCCAGCATCAAGGTCTTTTCAAGCGAGTCAGCTCTTCGCATCAGGAGTCCAAAGTATTGGAGTTTCACCTTCAGCATCAGTCCTTCCAATAAACACACAGGACTGATTTCCTTTGGGATGGACTGGTTGGATCTCCTTGCAGTCCGAGGGACTCTCAAGAGACCACAGTTCAAAAGCATCAATTCTTCGGCGCTCAGCTTTCTTTATAGTCCCACTCTCACATCCATACATGACCACTGGAAAAACATAGCCTTGACTAAACGGACCTTTGTTGTATGGCAGTTATCATGATTTTCTGGAGAACATTGAAATCTCTTTGCAACAGGTTTATAATTTAGAGGCTACTGTCTTGATGATGCTGATGATTTGGGCGCAGTTGCTTCTCTCTGAGCAGCTTTGCTTAGCATAGCTTGAACACATTTATCTCATGAAGGAATCCCACCTATCCTGGGTGTTCTGGTTACTTATCGCCATGTAAGAACCCCCCACCCCACCCACGCTTAGTGACTTAGACTGCTTTCTTCATGCCTACGGATTCAATGGTTCAGGCATTGCAAGGCTGGCATCTCTGTTCCATAATGCCTAGGACTCCATCAGCGAAGGCCAGGGGCTGGCATTACCCAGATATCTTGACGCATATCTGGAGCCAGGCTGAGATGACTTGAAGACTTGCTTAGCTAGAGCTGCCAAGCAAATACTTAACTGTGGCCTCTCCATGTGTCTTGGACTTCTTACAGCAGGGTGGAGCATTCCAAGAGAGACAGGCAGAAGCTGTATGGCACCTTTATCTTTATCACCTAGCCTTGCAAGTTAAAGAGTGCCTCTTTCTCTGTGTTCTGCTGGTAGAAGCCACCATAAGCCTACCCAGATTCAAGCAGTAGGAGGAGAGGGACCTTCACTCCTCAATGGAGAGCAAATTTTTTAATAAAATTACTCGAGTTACGGCTTAATCTTAGATGTGTTAGATCATCTGACTTCTATTAATACCTACAGCAAAGCAAGTCATACAATCTGTATTCCATCTACTTAACTCTGCCATTGCATAATAAAAGCAGCCAGAAATGATAGGTGAACAAATTATTGTGTTTCAGTGAAACTTTATCAACACTGAGTTTCAAATTTCATATAATTACTAAGTATCACAAAATATTTTTTTTATTTTATTTAAAAATGTTAGAGTCATTCTTAGCCTTTTACAAATAATGAGCCAGATTAGAATATCATGATGAGCTGGGTCTGACTTTTTTAAAGTTAGAATTCTCTAAATGTGTAGAAGGGACACTTGGGTACTTCTCAAGTATTTGTTTGTATGTTTGAATGTGTGTGAGAGAAAGACAGAAATGTTTGCATTTTTTTCTTCATTTTGGAAGTGAATTTGTGACGATGTTATTTGGAATTTCAGTCCTTTCAAGCACACTTTATTCTGTTACAGAAGATTTATTCCCAAGGGCAGTGGAGAACTACACTTGTAGGTGGGAAATTAGTGATATTTATTTTCGAACTTTATCTTTAAGATAGAATTTGTTCTTAATGGAGATTCAGAAATACATGTTTATTTTTGAAGTAAGTATCCCATGTTTTTAAAGAGATTGTGATCCTTAGACCAAAAGATAAGGTTGATGATTCTCTGAGATAATTTTTTTTATCTTTATTAAATATTTTTTTGTAACTGCAAATTATTTATTTTTAGATTTAATGAACATATAATTGCATTTCAATAAATATAACAAATATATTGCATAGAAAAATGGCCATAAAATCTTGGTAAACTGTTTACTTAACATATGTGTATATGTGATTAATACAGACAGTCATTATTCATAGTTTTTTCCTTCAGTTACAACTAAACAAAAAGTTACATGTAAAAAAATCTTATACATTTTTTGCACATTTTGAATCAACACCATGCAAAGCAATATTCATTAACTATTTTTGTCTGCCATCAATGTTAGGCAGTATAGTAGTTGATGAAAATACAGATGAACAAAAACATATGTAGTGCCTGCCCTTACAGAGCATGCAGTCTAGTGGGGTAACCAGATGTCAAACAGATGATAGCATAAGGGGAGAGTGCAGAGCATTTATAAGAATATTCATTAGGTTTTTAAGCTTGAACTGTTACAGGGCTTCCCTGGTGGCTCAGTGGTAAAGAATCGGCCTTCATGCGGGAGAGCCAGGTTCAACTGCTGGGTAGCGAAGATCCCCTGGAGGAGGAAATGGCAACCCACTCCAGTATTCTTGCCTGGGAAATCCCATGGACAAAGGAGCCTGACAGGCTACAACTGTGGGGTCACAGAGAGTCAGACACAAATGAGCAGCTAACACTGTTGCTATCTCTCATCCTCAACTGCCCATTAAATGTGAGAGTCTAGAAAAAAAGGTTTGTTGGATTAGTGCAAACTGCTGTTAAACTTAACAGCATATCTGCTGATAATGAATGGTATATCTCTGTATTTAGGCTACATTTGGAAGAACTATTGGCGTATTTGATGGCTTCTTTCGTGTTACTTTGGGAAAGGAAAACCAAAGAATGAAATAGAAATATGTAAATGTTGAAATGTTTTACACTTTTTTTCCTCCTTAAGGTATCATTTTGAATGGACAGAAAACTAACCTAGAAGAACGGTTTGGGACCTATTGGCTGGATTACAAATTGGGCTAATTATCTTTGAATTTTCTCTACATTAGGTTTTTCAAATGTGGCATCGTTGATTTCTGGGGACACATAATTCCTGGTTACCAGGAGTTGTTCTGTGCATCACAGGACATCTAGGAGGATCCTGGCCTCCACCCACCATACGCGAGTATCATTCTCCACCAAATTATAACAACCAAAATTGTCTCCAAACTTTGCCCACTGCCCCTCGAGAGGCAAAATCACCAGTGGTCTCCGTTAAGTTGGGACATTTAAAACCATGTCTGCAACATTTTATTACAAAGACCTCAACAAGAATTATGTATTGGTTTTTTTTTTAATAGTGAAAACTCTTAACTCCGGGAGTCGAATTACAGGTGGGCATGTTAGTCTTTGAGACACACAGTTCCTCCTTTGAAAATGCTGAGATGAATTTGAGCAACCTATTATCACATTAAACATTACACTTGTACTCTTTTTCTGGCGTCTGGACATTTCCTAAACTTTATAGTGTGTACAATATTTAACAAGGTTGAGAACCTCAGTTATTTAATTGAAACTCTGAAAGTGCCCAAGCGTCACTGGTACAAAATCAAAATTTAAAAGCAACTTGAAAGGAATAAAAGGATATTCTGATTTGGCTCCATGTTCTCAGCTTGTAAGCTACTGGATTGTGTGCAATGCGTGACCCAAAGGAGATGATTAGTTCTCCTCTAGTGTGCTGGTAATGAATAGCTCTACAAAACCAATTAGCTATAATTCTATCAGTCATTTCATTTGGGTAACATTTTGTTTAAGGGGAAGAAAAACAACGCTGTTTTCCTTGGAGATCTGTAATTAAGCTGTGATATTTGGTGGGGACAATTGAGGAAAAAGCAGTATGCTTAGCAATTTGCTTTTGCTATTCCCATATGAAAGTGTATTATGATGTAGTGTTCTGTTCACAGCTGTTAAGAAAGACATTTGCCCATGTTAAAGGTATAACAGACCAAATACAAGTCTATTTCTAACTATATATGTTTTATTTTGTATGGATGTCTGCACTGTACAACTTCAGAGATTCTCCATTCACATGGAAGGCTGTGACTGGTGCCCCCTGGAGTTGTGTAACAGAAAATACTGATTATCATTTCCTTTCATGTATTTTCCTCCTTAAAAATCTGTGAATCCAGAACTATGAACAGTGGCATTTTTTTCTTTCAGTCACTATTTTGCTCTGTAACTCTTCGCACCCACTGCCATGTCAACAATAATATCAATAGGCTGTTTTCTCCACCCAGGGCATTTTTATGGATCAGTATTGTTCTATCTGAATTTGAACACATGAGTAGTTCTTAATGTATCTTTATCTATTATAAGATAGAAGTTATTATTTTACCACAGATTAAGTATCCTTCTGTGACTTTTGGGTATTTTGCAATTTTTATTTAACTTTACATAATGAAATAAGACATGAATATGTTTTTGTTTTACCAGAAGTTTAATATAGGCAGCTTGTGACAAAAGTTAATGTATAGTTAAAAGTACAGTTGGTTACTGTCCTGGTCTTTTTATTTATTTTGCTTACTCTTATCCCACAGCTAGCCAAAAAAATCCGAGAGAAGTTCAACCGTTACTTGGATGTGGTCAACCGGAATAAGCAAGTTGTAGAAGCATCCTACACAGCTCACCTGACCTCTCCCCTAACTGCAATTCAAGACTGCTGTACTATCCCACCTTCCATGATGGAGTAAGGCTTGGAATTTTTTGTTTAAGCCAGGAATTGAACTTCCTTCCATTCATATTTAAATACCTGTTTGTTTATTGCAAAATGTACTCCTATCTTTACTTTTATATAGACAAGTAATTTTTAAAGAAGTGTGACTATATCCAGGAAATTCCTGGATCTTCCCTGCTCACCTTTTTGTCAAGCTGGAGTCTAGGTTCAGAAATATCAAATATTGTCCAGAGTTGACTAAGTCTAGAAACTTGCAAACATTTTTTAATGTGTTAACTAGTGGGTCATGAATAAGTTAGTCTCACTGTTTGAGCTGATTTGCCTAAATTAAGGGAATGCCTTTTATCTTTGCACATGCAAAAATTGCCACTTCATCCTTTTTAGTGTCATTAAAACTACTAAGGTAGATATGGCTTCAGGTAATATTGAAACAGAATGGTTGAGGATATTTTTATTGGCATAGTGATATTTGTATCTGGTTGAGGATATTTTATTTATTGGCATATGTGTGTGTTAGTTGCTCAGTTGTGTCTGACTCTTTACAACCCCATAGACTGTAGCCCACCAGGCTTCTCTCCCCATGAAATTCTCCAGGCATGAACACTGGAGTGGGTAGTCATTCCCTTCTCCAGGGGATCTTCCCAACCCAAGGATCAAACCGGGATCTCCTACATTGCATGCAGATTCTTTACCATCTGAGCCACCAGGGAAGCCCTTCATTAGCATAGTGATATTTATATCTGGAGGGGTATAGGGTTATATGATGCTGGAAATTGTTTGTATAGAAAAGAACACTTTAAGATTTTGACTTGGTCTCTAATTAGCTGTGTAGCCATAATCTATTTACTTAGTGTTCTATTTTTATATGCAGTTTTCGATCAGTGGATAATAATCTTCATTATACCAAGTTAGAATTGGCTATTTAGAATGACTAAAAGAAGTTAACATACTCTAAAATTATGAGTGTAAGAGTTACCATATCTAGTATGTATCACTCTTCTTTTTGCATAATAAGTGCTCTTAAAGCTATGCAAAGGGTGGAGACAACACAGTTCTTTTTTAGTTAAATGATGCTTTGCTTCCTACAAAGAAGTTTTTACTTATTATATTTTCTTGGTGGGCTATGTAGGTAACCGAACATCCTCAGATCATTTTATTTCTCCATCTGTGTGATATTAAGATGAGACTTTGTCTCTGGCTTACCTGTGTGTAACCTAGAGAAGCTCATACTAGCTGTTTACTAACAAACAGAAAGAATGTACATTTTGGAATGAGACTCTCCAGATATGAATCTTAACTCTAGGAGTTGGTATTCAGGTGGTCTCAGATAGGTGACAACTTTAACTGAGACTTTCTTCATCCCTAGAATGGAAATAATAACGGATATTTCACAGGATGTTGTGAACATTTTTTGAAATCATATAAGAAAATACTTTACAAATTGTAATGTTCTGAGCAAATATATACTTTCCTATCATAGTAACCATTTCATTTTTTGTTTATTAGGTTTGATCAAAGAAGATTTTTTTTTTTTATAGTCAGGGCATCAGTAACTTAATGTTTTCAACAATTTGCCTCTAATCTAAAAATAAAATAAGAGTCCATTATGGCTTTAAACCAAAGGAAAAAAATCATTTCCTGACTGAGAAAAAAAAAAAGGTAGGATTGTAAGGGAGAAGTCCCTACAGCTAGAATTACACTTAAAACACTGGTTCTCCACTAAGATGATTCCCACTCCCCTTCATCCCCAGGGAGGTTTGGAGCATCTGGAAACATTGTCAGCTGTCACAGTTGGAAGGTAGAAACGGCTGCTGTTAGTGAGGAGAGGCCAGGGATGCTGTAAACATCCTACAGTGCACGGGACAGTCCTCCAAAGACTTAACCTGACTCTAAATGTCAGTAGTGCAGAAGTTGCCTCAAAAGATGGGAGAGCTTCATGAAATTTCTAAGTGGAACATGGCTCTAGGTGAAACAAAAAGCTTGAATTGACTGATGTCTGCCTGTAAATCTACCCCATATATCACCTTTCCATTTGTTTCCCACCTCATGAATTTATATTAATGTTTCAACAAGCAGTGGAACCATTTGTCTCACCCCATAGCTTCCTATAACCTCTTTTCCCCTCTCTCCTTCTTTTACCTTTGCCCCGGAAGAATTCAGTTCTCCCTCATCTTTGTTCCCATAGTGAGTTTTCGTCACGTTTATTACAGTGCAGAACTGAATGGATCACATGTTGTTAGTAGGTATGCCTCCCCTGCTGTTCTGGGCACGGATTACAGCTTAGCCATTTTCATCCCAGTGCCTCTCAATTTTGTTTGATTACTAGGTGCTGGAATCTGAAATGACTTGAATATGGGAATGAGTCAGGGGTGAGAAATTAAACTATTATTGGGTGGGACCAAATACTGAACATAATTAAATAGTGAGGGCAAACTGTGACACAGCAGAGAGGTGTTGTGGTTCCTCAAAGCAGAGAAGTATACCAGATGGATGGCTTCACAAAGGATTCTGTGTGCAACTTGGGGAACTTCTTTTCCATCCAGTGGTTAGCACTCCACACTTCCATTTCCAGGGCCACAGGTTTGACCCCTGCTAAGGAAACTAAGACCCCTGCAAGCTGCATGGAATGGGGAAAAGAGGTGTCCCTCTTGGATCTAGGGATTAATACTAAATAAAGTAAGTTAGAGAAAGACAAATATTACACAATAGCACTTACACATGGAATCTAAAAAAATGGTACAAATGAATTTATTTATAAAACAAATACACTCACAGTCATAGAAGACAAACTTATGGTTACTAAAGGGGAATGGGAGAAAGGGATAAACTGGGAGTATGGGATTAAGAGATGCTACCATGTATAAAATAAACAACAAGAATTTACTTATAGCATAATATCTTGTAATAGCCTGTATAATGGAAAAGAATCACAAAAAAAGACACATATCTGAATCACTTTGTACACTTGAAATTAACACAATATTGTGAATCAGCTATACTTCAATTTTCTTTTTTAAAAAATGTGCATCTTGTTTGATCTAGTCATTTAGAGGAATATATCAAGGGATAACGACATGTTTGTAAAGATAAATTTATTTAAAAAGTCATTGTAGTGCCATTTAGAATAGAGAATATTGTAAATATTCTAAATTTCTAATAATAGATTAGTTAAGGAAATTATATCCCATTCATAAAAGTGATAACTTAAGATGTAACCATGCCATAGAAGAGAATTTTCTGCTTTGTGAAAATGGCGATACATGCTTATACACATGTATGCTTTGAAGGTTTAGAAAGACTTACATCAGAATGTTTTGGAGTAAAGACAGTGATTTACATTTTGAATATGCTGAGGTAAGGGTTGAAGTCTGAAATGCAGGTCACCCAGACGTTCGGCAATAACCAGTGATCTGCCTTTAAGTGAATATAATAAAATATTATAAAGTGTAGTTTCTGCCCTCCAGGAATCTCTCCTTTAGTTCAGTTTGACATCTAAGAGACTTGAATTACACTCCTGATATGCTGGGTATGCAGGTTAGTTCTCCTCTAAATGCTGAACTTGTGATGAATGCAGAATGGAAACCCTGTGGAGCTGCGATGCAGTCTTCTCTCCTCACTAGGAGTAGTTGACAGAGCCAAGAACTGCCATTTGGGGTGAGTCTTGTACAACCAGAGCAGTTCTCATGATAAAGATGAGCAAGATATAGAAGATATATGGATGACAAAAAACATGTTCCCTCTAGCGACATCTTAAACAAAGATCTGATCACAGCTGTCTGCAGCTGAAAATGGCAAGTGACAACTACCCTTCTCAGAGTCTTCTTGGCTTAGCAAAAGCCTCTCTTACCAGGGAATGTATGTAGGAATTTTTGCAGTGAACACTGAGCTGATGCTTTTCTAGCCATTGACTAATCACAAACACTTATTAAAATTAAAAGGGCCTCTTACCTTTTTAATGAAGGTTCAAATATGGAAAGAGTTAATAGTAAGTTATTGCTGTAAACCAGGGTAGGAATCCTTAGTTGCCCCTTTTCCAGTTTCTCATAAAATGCTTTAATCTGCGTTTTCTAACTGTTGTGTTATCCTACTGAGGACATTTTCAGTTCTCTTTCTTATATTTCAATCCTTCTGAAAAAGTCTACATTTTGAATCTCAGGGAGTTCATGTTGGAATTAAATGCAGATAGGAAGAACTGACAGTCTTGGGAAGCAATTTAAGAACATGACTAAAAACAGTTTATATTATCCTCTATGTCATGATAATGTTTTTTCTCTTACGGAAATAACATAAAATTTCTTTTTAAAATAAATACACCTAAATTTTAAAATGTATTAATTTAAATGAAAATATTAAGTGAATGTAATCTTAAAGATGTTTGACAAAATAACTACTGAAGTTAATGAGAACTGGACTGAAGATTGTTGAGAACAATCCTTCTAAATTGTAAGATTTTACCATTCTATAAGGCAAACTCTTTATACCCATGAACTGGCCACATGCATATATGATAATATTGCCATTACAATAAATATAAGCAACTGGACTTGAAATAAGGGATTGTTAGTTTTACATCTGGATCTCAGCATTCAAAAAACTAAGATCATGGCATGCAATCCCATCACTTCATGACAAATAGGTGGGGAAACAGTGGAAGCAGGCAGATTTAATTTTCTTGGGCTCCAAATCACTGCAGATGGTGACTGTAGCCATGAAATTAAAAGACACACACTCCTTAGTATATGAGAAACCTAGACAGTGTATTAGAAAACAGACACATCACTTTGCTGGCAAGGTCCATATAGTCAAAGCTATGGTTTTTCCAGTAGTCATGTATAGATGTGAGAGTTGGAGTAAAGAAAGCTGAGCTCCAAAGAATTGATGTTTTCGAACTGTGTTGCTGGAGGAGACTCCGACAGAGGACGAGATGGTTGGATGGCAACACTGACTCAATGGACATGAGTTTGAGCAAACTCCAGGGGACAGTGAAAAACAGGGAAGCCTGGTGTGATACA